CCTCAAGCCTGAGCAGCCCGGCCATGTCATGGCTAAGTTGGTACTTGATGCGCCGAAGGAAATCAGCGGTGGTTTCTATTCGTATGTCCTATCCCACTCAGATTACGCGAGAAATACTAATATTTGGCAGATGGAACAGCAAGGAGCTTGAGGCTTTCCAGGAATAAGAATATCATTGATAGCTATTATGTATATTTCGTGTTCATATCTGTATTCTTTATAGCAAGTCAGTAACGATCGCCATAGAACAATGAGTGCAAGAATTGAGACAATGTTGTTTACAAGTCAGTCGAAAGATGAAAAGCAATACATTTTATAAGCATTAGGTGCAGCACACCTTCATGTTTAGCATGGAATGTAAGGGTATACATCATGTAATTGGAACTGAAAATATAGCAAAAAATTTCTGCGCGTACCTTTAAATACAGATGTAAAGACTCCCATCCCTCCCGATATTGCTCCGTGAATGTGATTCAAGTAGAAACGAGTTCTAAACTACAATAACGAAGTTGGTTTCCTGTGGATTCTTCAACAAAGTTAGCAACAGCTTCAAACAGATGAAGTGAGATGCAAATAGGCAGAATTGATATAGATCAGATAGTCCGTTTGGCTAGGACAGGTTTGGTCACCATAGAATGTATGATAGGGGCGAACACAATAAATTCATCATGATAGAGATTGGGAAAAGGGATTCGAGCAATAGCTTACCATTAGTGATTGGCCTTGGAAAGAGTCGATCTCATTTGAAGGACTCTTTCCAAGGTAGTTGGAGGAGAGTGAGGACTGATGAAGAAGAAGTAAAAACGAGAAAAAATTCAGCGCATTTTATGTGGTTGAAAGCGGTAGAATTCTGCCGGCAAGAAATTGTACTTAACTCCGTCGCGCGCCTGCGATGGGCCTTGAAACTTTGAGCCCCACGCAAAAGATCAAAGAAATTAAAGCATCCTATTCTGCGCCTCTCCCTTGAGATCTGGCACTTGCTCTTTATTCGCCTGTCACCAGATCACCTGATTCGCTATGTCTGACCGAGAATTTAACTGTAAGTGGTCTCTAGATCTTGGCCGCCTACGCGCAACATGCTGACCTGTAGGTGAATAGCAAACGATGACCTATCGCTGCCTAAAGGTATTGTGCAACGACCCTTGTGAATATGTATAGCTCTTTGTGAGGCTCTTTGCCGCATCACCGCATATGCATTTGTGACTTCACATACGCGTTTGCTCGCATGTGCTAACGTAACTCTGTGATAGCGACGGTCCAGAAGATTATTACCGAGATTCTACCACCTAGCTCCGGCCAGACCTTTTCCAAGGATGCGCGCGACTTGCTCATGGAATGCTGTGTCGAATTCATCACCTTGATCTCCTCCGAAGCAAACGATATCAGCGAGAAGGAGGCTAAGAAGACTATCGCTTGTGAGCATGTGGAGAAGGCATTACGGGATCTCGGGTTCAGCGATTACATCGCCGATGTACTCGCTGTTGCTGAAGAACACAAGCAGCAGTTGAAGGTATGTTCACATTTTACTTGGAATTGATACACTTTGAAGCGCATGCTGACCTCTGTTATCTTATAGTCACGAGAGAAGAAGCAGAGCAAGATGGAGCAAAGTGGTCTGACTGAAGAAGAGCTTCTAAGGCAACAACAGGAGCTCTTCCGGTCAGCAACTGACAAATACCATGCTGTCCCGGAATAGAATCACCTAAGACTCGTGCTGGTCATAGAGTGAAAAGGATGATGGCGTTTTGTGTGTTCCACCGGATATGTGGGTCTGGAGTTTTTTTCCTCAATGGTTTCTGATTTTTTTCCTTCCTCTGCTTTGAGAGGATGGGTTGTGGGCAGGATATACTATCTAATGAAGCGAAAGCGCACAATGCATGGGTTAATTGCATATGATTTGAATGTTACAAGCATGGACCACCTCTCTCTAGAAGCCTCAACAGCGTACAACGTATATTCAAGACAAGTGTTTCAGCCATCATGATGTTTGGAGGTCTTTTCTCGCTGGGCTCATAGACGAATCCTGCCCATGTGGCTATGTATGTTGTATTGCACTGTGCCATATCTTCTACTGTTGTATAGTTATGTCATAATCAATTCTATAATTTTGATCTGATTTCAATATCATAACTGTTTTTTTTAATCCATGTAGTATCATAGTAAATTGATTGGTTATTGAACAGATATTTCTAAATAGTAAATTCATCTGTATTGGAATCGAAGTTTGCTATTCCAAAGCTTGTCGCCTCAGAACTTCCAAGCTTCCAAATGCTCGGAAATACTTTTCCCCGTCCAACTTCAACTCCGTCAGCACGTGACCTTTGATCCGCCCAAACCACGCTAAACCACAATGGGAAGAAAGCGCAACCAACACAAATCGAGCCATCGCGGAGCTCCCATGCGCAGTCATCATTCGTCGCAACGCTATATACTGCCAGTGATCACGATGCCTCCCTTTAAGGATGAGCATATCTTGGTATGTTTATTTCTTCGTATTTTTTGGTTCAAAATTAACCCATTCGTCTAGCTAATTGCGCCGGGTTCACAAATGACCTTGGCGCAACTCGGCCTGCCCGAAACATTCACGCCCGCGCGATTTCGGTTCCCAACTCGCATGTTCCCTGCTGAGAAGAAGGGAGAATATGAGCCCTACCGTGTTCACGAGAGACGCCAAGTGGTCAAGGTTAACAATGGCACGGAGGCCCCAAAGGCGGATGTGGAAATGAAGGACGCTGAGCCCGATGGTACCCCAACCACCGAAACCACCGTCAAGACCGATGAAAATACCCAGAATAACGAGGAGCCAACCAAGACTATCGAAGAGGTCTTCTACGAGGAGGACCCGGCATCGGACGAAGGGGCAATCTATCCGATCGAGAACGGGCGCATCGTCGACTGGCCCTGTTTCTTCGCCCTGCTCACTCACATTTACAATACATTGAGCCCACCTTTCCACACCCCTATTATGCTTGTTGGTCAGCCCGTCTGGTCTGCACGCGATCGCGAAGCAATTACTCAATTCGTCTTTGAGAAGTTCAAGGCACCCGCGTTTAGTCTTATGGACTCTGCTCTTGCGGCTTGCTACGGCTATGGTACAGCTACAGCCACTGTTGTCGATGTTGGCAAGGGCAAAGTTGATGTCACTGCTGTAACCGACTTCGCAGTCAACGAACACGGCAGGGGAATCGCACTGGAGGGATGTGGTGGAGACGCTATGACCGATCGTCTTGCTGAGCTGCTGGGTCCGAAGGGATTTACCAGAGAAATGTGCGAGCAGCTCAAGCGAAGCAATATTACTGAGATTCTGCCCTCGGGAACCCCACTGCCTGGGTCTTCTGCTACTGCACGCCAGGGCGCTAACCCTGCTGCTGTTGCCTCGACGGGCGGATCGGATGGAGATGACTCTGCTCCGCGTGGTCCAGGAGATGGCACTCAGACAGGAATCGAGGGAGATAATGGCGAAGAGGATGAAGGTGTTCTCGATGTCGCTGCGATTGTCAGCGGCAACCCCACTGAATACCTTGCCAATGTCGAGAAGGAAAAGACGACTACCAAGAAGGGCGCAGTTGACCCCAAGGGAGCTCGTCTTCCTAACTCGAAGAAAGAGAAAGCGTCCTTCCAGTTTGAGGAGTTTGTTCAGTTGGAAGGAGAGAAGGCAGCAGCCCACAGTGCTCGGCAGTACGTTCGTCGTACTCGAGATATCGAAGTCAGTGTTGAGCGTTTCCTTTTGACTTCGCCACGCTCGAAGGACGGAAACCGCCTGACTAGCGGTATCCTGGAAGATATTGCGACTCAGATTCACCACACCATTCTTTCCGTCCCAGATGCTACAAAGCGAAGCGAGCTTTGGGACTCTTTAATTATCGTTGGATGTGGGAGCAAGGTCAAGGGTATTTTTTTGTCATTACTATCTGCAACTTAGGTCTTTTCGCTAACATCAAAACAGGCTTCACGCAGGCTTTGCTAGCTGTCATCACCCAAAAGTTCATACTTTCTCCATCCGCCACCATCTTCACGTCTGAAATTCCTTCGAACTTCACTACCCCCCTTCCAACCGGCGCCAACACACCCGCTCCTATGGGTCAACCTGGCCCGATGTACCACCCTGCGGCACATGGAGTAAACCCTCTCCTTGTGGCTGCTACTCACAACAATCCCGGTATGCCCGGTACGCCCTCCATGGATCCCAGCATGGTATCACACTACCGCTCAACTGGGCACTCCCAAACTCCAACCTCCGTCAAGACTCTGAAGCTTCCTGAGTATTTCCCAGACTTCAAGGACCAGGGCAACAGCAACGCTCCCGGCGCCAGCAGCGGCAGTGCTGGTGGTAACTCAGGTGCGCCCGGCACATCCCAGGGTGGCCATGGAATGGAAGAAGCCGTTTTCCTCGGCACTCAGATGGCTGCCAAGGTTTTCTTTGTCGTTGATCAGGGCCTCAGCAAGGGCTATATGAGCCGGGTTGAGTACAACGAGAGCGGACCGTCTGCAATCCACGAATACATCCTGTAATTGCAGACTCGGTGATTTAACACTCATATTGGTTTATCGCACATTTCTTCGCCCGTTGTTGAACACCTTCTTGGCGAAATTTGCTGGTTTGTCTTGGAATATCTCTTTCTTGTTTTATGCACGCTATGATCCTAGGTAGAAAAGCGATCTCAGGATGCAGGCGTAGGAATTGGGGGCGTTTTCTTATAATTTTGTCAGAATACTTCAATGAACCTAAGTACTTAGCTTCATTTCATATTCATTCATACTATAAAACATTAAATCAAGAATCAACCAATCAAACTTCAGAGGGGCTAGGCCTTGGGCTGCATCATGTGATGCATTATGTAATAAAGCGGCTTATCGCGATCTACGCCACCAAGCTTCTCTCACTACTTTCTTCGAATACTTCTCATACCCCAGCTTTTTGATCTATTGACCCTTCGAAGCTTTCCCCTCTTATCGTTTTCCTCGCACGCTTCTCCCGACTTCATTTACCAGCATACAAAATGGGCCGCGCGGAGGCTGGCAGTACAAAGGCCATCGGCAACAAGATCAAAAGCAAAGGACTGGGTCGCCTTCGATGGTTTTGCCAGGCATGCGAGAAACAATGTCGAGATGAAAACGGGTTCAAATGTCACACTATGACTGAGGCGCATGGTACGGAACTCCTATCCTCTATGTCCCGGCCACCAGCTAACTTTGTCTTAGTCCGACAGATGATGATCATTGGTGAAGACCCGCGCAAGCACATCAGAGAATTTAGTCGCGAATTTGAGCGAACTTTCCTCGATACCCTCAGAACCACGCATGGAACAAAACCCATCAACGTCAATCATTTCTATAATCAGATTGTGGCCGATAAGCAGGTATGTCTCTTGCATTTCACTCCTTTCTGCTGATTCTGGCTAACTTTTTTATAGCACATTCACATGAACAGTACAGGTATGTTCCGACGGAAAGGAGAAGCAAGGGCGAGGGTGAAAGCTAACTATGAACGCAGAATGGAAAAGTTTATCACAGTTTGCGGCATACCTAGGCCGGGAGGGAAAATGCCGTGTTGAGGAAACTGAGAAGGGCTTGGTCATCGCGTGGATTGATAACAGCCCAGACACACTTCGCCGCCGGGAGGCTATCTTAAAGAAAGAACGCCAGGAGAAGGGAGACGAAGAACGAGAACAACGCTTGATTCAGGACCAGATTAAGCGAGCCCAGCAAGCGGCGATGGCCAGCGCTACGAACAACGCAGATGCAGAACCCGAGGCAAGATTGTTGCAGAGGAAGGAAGGAGAAAAGATGACCTTGAATCTTGGTCTTGGCTCGAAGAAGACAGATACGAAGCCTGCGTCGCCTCCCACAACAGAAAAGACCACAGTATTGCTGGAAGACACAGATGCACCGACAGGAAGCACCGACTCTCCCGCTCCGTCTGCGCCTGCCGCACCAGTCAAGATTTCGATGTCAATGGGCGCACAAAAGCCAAAGAACGTGTTTGCTATGGCCAAGAAGAACCCTTTGGCCGGGAAGAAGGGCTCTATTTTCGCGGCTCCTAAGAAGATGACTGAACAGGAAAGAATTATGAGGGCCGAGATGGAGGCAATGGAGCGAAAGCGATCTCGTCCAGACTCTGGTTTCACGAATAAGCGACCAAAGATCACTTAAGGTGACATATCTTACATACAAAAATACATACCCAGCTACCCGGCCTGCGGCTGACCCTACCACCATCCAAAACACCTGATGGGTGGGTCACCTTTGGGCTGGGTACATGCATCGTTTCTTCAAATTTGCTTCATCTTCCAACTGTAATTAGGGCTGGTGGATAACTGTTGTGTTTTATATGGTATGTAGACTTTCACGACGTGCTTGATCATATTCTATTTCAAACTGTTGTTCTAACATTATCCATGGTCGTATACCACACTGTAGTGGCTTCCAACCATCCATATATATATATACCGATAACTTATTCCCCCAGACCTTTTCAAGTAACGTCGAGGTTTGTAATTTATCAGAGAGTAATAATTGTAACTTAATTGTGCACGATACACACCAGTTAGCAATTGAATAAGAAATATGCATATGATTGACAACTCAAACCCGTTGACAGCTCGGATAATGGAGACAATTAGAATATGTTGCTCTCATAGCGTCGTAGGTAGTGGTGTGATTCTCGTATCGAACCTGAGCATTATTGCCAGGTCCCGCGTTCAATGCGGTCTTTCTCTGTTTTTTTTGTGTGGATATGAACATGGATTTCTTGCTCAATCGATTCATCATTGCAAGAGTTGGCCATGAGGCCTTGTTAAGCCTTTTCAATAGTATTTTTGGTTTCAGTTGTCTTAAATATTTTTGAATATAATCTAATATAGATGTCCACTTAAATTGTGCATGACTTTCCCATGTATAATCTTCGATTAATGTATACGAAAAAAGCCAAGGATTCGCTGCTTAGCCCTAGATTGTAGAGCGCTAGAGGCGTGATAGGTGTTCAGGGGTCTTCCAGGCTTGAATTCAAGGATGAGTTAAATGGTTGATGATCTCGGTATGCCTTCTACCTTAACCAGGTATAGACAATCACTAGGTGAGACCTCGGGAATCCTGCGGGCCGGCGCGATTGCCGCACTGACCCAGCCTTGTCGGGGCATACGAACTACCCTGCCCCTGCATGCTCGTATTCAAGTTAGTGCGCGGAGTAGCTGCAATTCAAAATGGCAAAATTCGGGTTTGTTTCCCTCTATCCCCGACAACCATGGATCCCTTGAGTATAACGGCCAGCGTCGCGGGCCTCGCAACCCTCGCATACCAGATCATCGGATATCTCGGGACTGTTCGAACTGGTGGGAAAGACCGGTTGACACTCTGTCATGAAGTCACCCACCTCTGGATGTCTATCACGTCGCTTCTCGCGCAGCTTTCCTCCGACGCGATTAAAAATGATAAAATCCCGGACTCGTTACGTCCGCTGTTCGAGCCGGATGGTATTTTGAAGGATATCAAAATACAGCTGGAGGATCTGGAGAATAAGATTCAGTCTCGCCTGTCGCGGGGAAGGATTGCGCAGACGCTCGCTTGGCCGTTTACGCAGAAGGATGCGGAAAAAATGATCCAGCGTATCCATCGCTTGAAGTCTACGCTGCAGGATGGTATTAACCAGTCGACTTATGCCATCTCTCAGGATATCTACCGCGATGGGCAGAGCGTGAAGAAGGTGGTTGACGAGGCGAGGTTGAAGGAGCTGATTGACTGGATTTCTCCGCTCAACTTTATCACCAAGCAAAGTATGATCTCCAACGAGCACCACAAGGGGACGTGCAAGTGGTTCCTGGATCGCGATGACTTTTGCGAGTGGCGAGAGGGAGATAATACCATGATCTACTGCCCTGGGATTCCTGGTGCTGGGAAAACTTTCCTATCATCGATTGTATACAATGAGCTGGAGGGGCTGCGAGTGCGAGAGGAATGTGGCCTCAAGGGCGCCGCGGTCATAATGCTCTACTGCAAATGGGATGACCCGTTGACCCAAGATATCGAAAACCTGCTTTCCAGCATCATCAAGCAATTTGTCCAGCGATACGATGTTGGTGTAACTGGTATGATGGAGCTATTCACTAAACACAGCAAGGAAGGGACAAGGCCCTCACGATCGCAGCTGCAGTCAACGCTCGAGCTCCTCTTCAGCCAGTTCACAAAGGTTTTCATCATCCTCGACGGACTGGACGAACTGCGCGAAGAGAATGAGCGACGCCCCTTGTTGCAAAGTCTCGCTCCATGGAGCATAGCAAAACCCCCGGCCAAAAGCACGGTCAATCTTATGGTCACATCGCGCCCATTGCCCAATATTGTCCGCCATTTTAGACACTTCCTAGACTCCGAAAGCAATATATACTGCGATGTCTGCAATGACCTAGTCCTCCCGTTTCAGTACCACTGCGCCGAATGCAGTGTCAGTTACGACCTCTGCTCTGGCTGTTACGATGTTGGCAAGCGCTGCGGTTATAAAGGGCACACTTTCCACCTTGAGTTCAACGCTCGCGTCGTCCCTGTCGCGGCTGTGGAAGAGGATTTGACTACCTATGTCCTGTGGCGAACAAGCGCGTCCGACTTTCTGCGGCAGTGCGTGGAAACGAAAGAAGGGTTGATGGATAGAATCCTCACGACCGTAGTCAAGAACAATGGCGGGATGTTCCTGTTGGCCAAATTCAACATGGACACACTGGAGTCCAAGCTCAACATCAAACAGCTCACGCTGGCACTGAAGACCCTGCCCCAGGAGCTGGACGGCACTTATGCAGATGCCATGTCTCGAATCACCGAGTTGCCCCCATCGCCGAGAGAGAAGGTCCTAGAATTCCTCCGCTGGGTTGTTTTCGCGGAGCAGCCGCTGCATGAGAAAGCCATTGAGCACGCTCTGGCGGTTAGTGAGGGTGATACAGACGTTGATGATGACAGCATTATCAGCGCGAGGACCTTGGCAAGCAAGTGTGCAGGTCTAGTACAGTTCGATGAGTCTCATTGTCTAAGGTTAGTTCATTATTCAGCCGAGGGCTTCTTTAAACAAAACTGCGATCACTGGTTCCCCCAAGGAAACATGAAGGTTACCTCAACCTGTCTGACATATCTTTGGTTCGATGTGTTCCGAGCCGGTGCCTGTGATGGTCCATCTGAAGCTATTGATTTCGAGAAGCGCCTAGAGAAGTATCCCTTCTTGCGGTATGCATCCATTAACTGGGGGAAGCACCTCCGCGCGACATCGGATGATGAGTTGTTCAATCGGGCTTTTGACCTTCTCACTGATGTCAATTCTTTGGCTACGGTAACCCAAGCCCTATGGTATCTAGAAGACCAACATCAGTCTATCAGCTGGTCTGCAAAAAATGGTTCCGCAGTCCATCTCGCCGCGCACTTTAATCTCAATCGCCTCGTGGAGAAACTCCTCGGACAGGGGCACGATCCAAACACCACGGATATGAGCGGACACACGCCTCTATCACTCGCTGTCCGACGAGGCAATATTAACGTCGCAACAGCTCTAATCAAGGTAGGCGCATCATTGAACACAGTGGACAACAGCGGCCGCGCTCCGCTGCACTGGGCAATCCGCCACAGGCGTCTTGATGTTTTTAAGTTACTCTTAGACCAGCAGAACATCGATGTCAATGTCTCAGATGCGCGCTGGTTACACTATACACCCCTAATGATTGCAGCTGCGGGTGACCTTGTCGGTTACCTTGCGCCCCTCCTAGCTGCTAAAGAGATCGATGTGAAAAAACAGTGCAGGAACCCTGATGGCGGAACTGCGTTGATAATTGCCGCTCAATACGGCGCCACTGATGCTGTCAAGCTCCTGCTTGCGTATCCTGGTATAGATGTCAATCACGGCGATGCGAGTGGCACCACAGCGCTTACCCACGCTGCCCAGGGAGGTTATTACGATCTCGTCGAGGCACTGCTTGACAACGGGGCTGACACGGAGGTAAAGCAGGAAAGGTGGTATGGGACGGTCATCATGCGAGCTATTGACAATGGTAAAACATCAATCGTTCGGCTATTGATCAAACGGGGCGCCGATATCCGCCATATTGATGTCTTCGGCCGGGGCACATTGCACTCGGCGGCCATCAATAGCCAGGCAGAGATCCTTCGCATCCTGCTAGCACATGACCCAACATTGGATGTCAACATGCAAGATGTCAATGGTAAAACAGCTCTGCACGATAACGCCCGCACGGGAGACCTGGAGACGGCCGACGTTCTCCTCAAGCATGGCGGCAACCCGACTATCAAGGATAACTACGGGAGAACGCCAATCCGTGTTGCGCGTGAATCTGACAGTCCTGCACTCCTCGAGGTGCTTAACGCAGTTCGAGCACGACAGAACGATGAGAGCCGCATATCTAAATCGCTTCAGCGCACCGACACTGGAACCATCATCGACGAGGTCAAGCGGTCGGACACGGGTCTGTCTATCCCCGCCGCTCTTCCGATCTGGTCACTCGTCATACTGAATCAGTCCGATGAGCTCAAAGAGCGTCTGCCCGACTCGTCAAAAGAGGAAATCAACCAGCCCGACCCAGACAGTGGTCAGGCAGCACTCCACTGGGCCGTCGCCGACCGCGATATAGAGACCACCCGTCTTCTCATCTCCCACGGCGCCGACATCAACATTCAAAGCAAATACGGCCGCACACCCCTCCATATATCCGCCATCAAGGGATCCTGGGACAAAGCTGAGGCGTTGCTCCTGTCCGGCGCGGACACGGATATCGAGGATCAGTGGGGGTGTCCTCCGCTCGCGTTGTCTAGTGGTGCCATTGGACTTCTCCTTATTGAGAATGGTGCGAATCTGTCCCGGGATGATGTGGATATAGACTTATACCTGCGTTTAGCTGCGCAGGCTGGGTGGGAGACCTCGATTCGGCGGTTGATTTCTGCCGGTGCGGATGTTTGGAGTAAGGACTCGACTGGGAAGACGCCGTATATGATTGCGAAGGAGAGTGATTGTCATAAAATGGCCAATTTGATTCTTCAGCTTGCGCCTAGGCCGGAGGGCTCTTCCTCCGATGGCACGGGCATTTCGAAGGATAAAGCCCCGAATGGCAGCACAGAGAAGGGAGGCACAGAGAAGGGCAGCCTTGTTGTCAAGGAAATGCCTACTGGTGTCACTCAAATAACAACTACTGGTGATACGAAACCTGGGACTTCGCTGTTCCAGCGACATCTATATGCCCTCTTGTTGGTTTTGTTATTGATTCCAGCGACAACTTTGGCACGGTTATATTGACACATCAGCGTGAGTGTGTTATAAGTGATCCCCACGATTGAACGATTTGTATCATAAGCGAGTCATTGTTTTGGATTCTGTTACAAGCAATGTCATATCTAATTTCGAATCGGCCATAATCTAATCGGTAAGGAAGTCTCGAAATGATCATGTTACTTATGTACCCTATAGACATCAATCACGTGGCAGCTACAAAGCGAATACAATATCGGAAGTCGGCAAGAAAGCCTTTCCTGCATCTCAAAACAGTTGCTTGCTTTGCTCTAACATGTCTCTACCTATCGGCTCGTTTGTTTCCCTTCCGATCTGTTACCGTACTACGTAGGACTGGAGGTATTTTGGAACACTCTCTGACCTCATTGTGCTACTAAGGAATCCAGACTATAAATCAATTGCCTAGTGATGGTTGCTTGATTCTATATCGGCAACTGCCCCGTACATAATGAGTCACTAATAGACCTAACTCTTATAGTCTGTTTGGGTATGCACCTAGCTCGAATGGAGCTCCGTCTAGCTACGGCGCTTTTCTTCCGAGCCTTGCCCAATGCTCGACCTTCCACGAAAGAAGGTGGGACAGCCAACGATATGGAGATGCAGTCTTTCTTCTTAATGTCACCACGAGGACACCGTTGTATTATCGAGGCATGATGTCTGTTCAGTATGACCTTGGAATCTTTGGAATCGTTAATTCTCTTCTCGGCCAAATTTCGTCGGTGAATGGTTCTAGGAACTATAATAAAATGACTGTCGATTATCGTAGTATTTATTCAACGGTAAAGCTTATATCTGTAATAAGACCACATGAGTACTAATTTCTCCCCAGAGTATAGCACTTTAACTAAATATATCGACTTTTTCCCAAACTTTACTGTCAGATATGTACTTCTACCGGAGATTATAAATTACTGTGCATCAAGACACCCTGACCTACATAGTGCACAGGTAAATTTGAGTTTCAGCTTTCAGCCACTAGTCACCTTATTGGATGACTTTACAGCATTGACGACGCCAAGGGTCTTGGTGTAGTCTGGAGAACACAGGGAAAACAAAGAGAAAGTGGAATTGAAAAGAGCTTGAATCACTAATAAACACTGGTGGCCTAGCATAAAACCCCGATATATGCCCGGGAGACGATATTCAGGGTCACTATAGCGGATATAAGATGGCGAGGACGAACGCATGTCGAAGTAGCGACATCGGGCAGTTTGTGTTCTCATCTCTGTACAAGGTCATGGGCATTCTCTAGAAAAATTATCTCGTAAAATTACAGGGCTGTGCTCCCGTGTCAGTCCCTTATATGTCGATCACATCCAATTAAGGGCATGGAGTCTCTCCTGCCTGCGATGTTGTAGTAAACAATTTACCTAGCTGGTTATTTGTATATTGACATAAGATTTCATTTACATATCTGGGAAGTGTGCAATATCTACCTAAAGTATCTGATGTGGCTAAATTTAAAATGGCCCCCAACTCTCTAACCATTTGGTATGCGCTAGTAAATGGTATGGCCCCCTTCAACGTCTGCAGTATATATTGATAAGGTACACAGACCCAATTTGGAACAGTCTAAAATAACGATCAACCCTGGCTCAGCCGCTGTTTGAATACCAGAGACTTTTAGCACTTTACACATCTCTCTCCCACATCTCAATACTTTGAAAACCCTTACGTCGACCCTCTACTCCGTACTACTTTCTCTATTCAATTTATTGTCACTTTCACAAGGACTCCCATGTCCGATAGCTCGAAGAGCCCGTACGGGCTATCCGTCCGCAGAAACAACACCTGTCTTCACACCGAACAAGATTGCGGCGAAACCTGGAATACTTTCCGTGCCTGTTGCCCTGGCGGCACGAAATGCCCAACCGGTCAAAAGAACGTGAAATGCTGCGAATTCGAAGCTGACTGCTCCGAATTGGTTGACCACACACATTGTGCAAACAGCACTGCAAATGTCTACAAGTCCGAGGATTGGTTTTGCTGCGCTGATGGAGACTCGGCTTTCAGGCTAAAGAATGGATATGTCGGCTGCACCGACGATCTATCCACCTTGAACAAATATGCGAGTATCTTGAAAATCCAGTATCATGGTATGTAATGCTTCGGTGGTCTGAACCTGTGTTATAAATTCATAGGCTCATCAAACGGACTTTCTAATCCCCTGCTACAGGCAGTAGCTCAACGCCCACGCCATCGTCGACAATATCCAGTACAACGCCCAGCATCATGACTACCAGTGCTACACAATCCTCCCTTTCTCCCGCAGAAGCCACTACCTCTGCAAGTGCGCCGGAGAATTCGTCTTCATCATCCAATACCGGAGCCATTGCTGGTGGCGTTGTTGGCGGAGTAGCTGGATTGGCTATCCTGGTTGGTCTACTCTGGTTCGTACTCCGTCGCCGAAACCGGGCAAAGAAGAGCATAGGAACACCTACGGACCCAAGCCCTCTAATGCCCAGTGCCCCCGGATCGAGTGTTCCTGGGTCGAGTGTTCCCGTTTCGAGTGTTACTGGGTCGAGTGTTCCAGGATCGAGCGTTCCTGGGTCGAACATCGTTGAGTACTACAATAAAGGCCCCGAAGGCCCACAAGAGCTTGCGGGTCGAGAGGAAAATAAGCCCCCTCAAGAGCTTGGTGGTCGAGATGAAAATATGGTTCATGAAATGCCATCGCAGACGACATATCGGTGATGGCCTGCATGGTGTCTAGGTGAAGTAAATACCGAGAGAAAGCCCCATACTCTCTCACTTCTTTTATGTGAATATGTAATACAACAAACTATTTCGAATCTCTGGCGCATGTCAAGATAACATGCGACTCCTGCGACATCACCCAACATTGTTTTTATATCAATGACCAGACGGGAAATATAGAAAACCAAAACCGGCCCCCTGGTTCTCACATCTCACTGTCAACATAGCTGCCGGCCGCGGCTAATGTGGCGTAGTAAAGGTCTGTTTCAGCGCAGATAACCATTCTACCCTTTCCAGCGAAGTTGAAATTCGCCGTACCGGATCCAAGATAGATCTTGCCGATGAGCTTGCCAGATGGGTTCCAGACATGGACACCGTCACCACAGCCAGCATATACGTTACCCCATGAATCGCAGTGGATGCCTATTTAACACATTAGCCTGAACAGAATATTAATTACAGCTTGCTTGACTTACCATCAGGTGCTCCAGAGTGAACAAAGGCAAAGGTCTTGCGATTTTCGAAGGTGCCGTCGGCTGTCACATCAAACCGATAACTATAACACGCAATCCATAATCAGCTACAAGTCCAAACTAGGAACATTTGAAACCATAGTACATACATAGAAGCAGGACGGGTGAAGTCGAGACCGAAAAAGCCGCTATCGATTCCGGTATCGGCGATATATGCGTACTTGCCATTTGGAGAGAAAGTGAGACCTGCTACAATGTCAGTTGCACCTTCCTTTTTCAGCCTGTACACATTCTTGATTCCCTACCGTTGGGATGGCCAAATCCATCTGCGACAACTGTGACAGCACCTGTATCGGGGTTGAATCGGTACACTTGATCCTGCAGGCCGGGTGCAGGGCGGAAGTCCTGTACATAGCCATAGATCGTGTCTGTGAAGTAGATATCTTTGTTTTTCGGGTGGATGGCCACATCGTTCAGAGAGTTGAATTGGCGGCCGAAGTAGTTGTTAAGTATAACTATAGACCACTTTGTTAACTCGCGAAATCCATGGACCTAGTGTGTACTGACCTGTAGTGTTAAATGGACTTTTCGGGTTCATAACCCACAGGGCAGGCGGTTCATTGTCACCTTGACCCTCACCGGTGAATACAATCTGTCCCCGGTAATTGGTAGCTCCTAGACCGTTGTCAGTTGTATTTGACCTGCAAGAAGAGCTGATTGCCTACCATTGGGATTGAGAACCATTGGTGATGAAGGAACGGTGGTTACATCAACAAGGCCCACCGCATCCGACTTGTGGGAGACAGCAGCAGCGTCTGCAAGAGAGATTTTTTCAATAATAGCTGACTTTTCAAGGCCGGTGCCAGCGTCCTTAGCGCCTGCATTTTGGACAAAAAACATCTCGTCCGTTTCCTCGGACCTATAAGCTAAAGTCAGATGCAACCTATCCTTGGCTTGTGCTTTATTTGTGCTTTGGATACATACCATACAACCGCCTCATGGAATAGAGGGTTCTTTGGGGAGTGTGCGATCCGGGTTAAAGTTGGAGCTTTTCCAATGATCCTCAGGAATTCCTTGTCGTATACATGGAAAGGTTGCTGAGCTAGACTGTCTCCTGTAGACCCTGGAGGCACAAACAGCTATGCATTGATCAGTACGAGGTGCTACCGGAGACTTCAAATGAGGAATCGCATACACTCTTCGCATTGAATTCGGTTGGGGGCTTAGTCGTGTCTAGGACATTGAAGGCCTTTTGGTCAATCAACTGCGCTTGAGCAGGAATATTACTCGAGATGACTGGTGCTAGGAAGGATCCTAGGAGCAGCAGTGTAGCCAGTGATGAAAGTTGAGATGCCATCTTTGAGACAGTGCCAGGCGCGAAGTACATAGAACAATAATTAAAGGAAGGGGAGATCGGGCATTTATGTCAGGGGGCGGGGGAAGTGGAGATAGAGGGATAGACCCGTGCCTTTTTTCCCTAGAGACAACATGCAGAAATTCTCCGGATCTTCAGTCAAAGCTATGGCGTGTATCAATATTCTCGGAGTTGGCCCGATAATGCCAAGTTGCCAAAACACCTGCGTTTGGCACTTAATTCGGCCCGATTCGCCGCCTATCGACGTCAGTGTCGGAGCACTCGTTGCCGCCATTTTGCCAAGCATTCTGAGAATTAGTAGTGCTCTGAGGATTATCGAACTGTCGAGTATGCAAGCTACCAGACGAATAGAAGAGAATCATGAATTAAGATGTTGGCGGCCTGAGGCCAGCCTGTTTCCCAATCCAGGACCTCCTTGACATCTAGATCATCTCAATACTCCTTCCTTGCTCATCTATGATTCTTTCCAGTTCTTCCTGGTGCTTCACCATCACCAAACAGTTCAATACTTGGCAACTTTCCGGCTCTTCAGCCCCCCGAGCTAAAAGCCTTGGCTCGGGCTAAACTTCGGCTTGAAATTGGACTTGGATTTCGAGCTTCCTGCGAGTCAAAACGACAACAAGTTAGATCCACTAGAGCATTGTACTGCATCTCAGTTACTATTTGGACCTTACCAAGTAACCGTGCCCCCTTCGGGTGTTAGGTGAAGGGAGTTGGCCAACTTGGCAAGGCCCAGATAGTTGTCAAACTCCTCTTTTGACGTATGGACTCCGTACGGAGTATCCATCTTTAGATAAGATATGCTATCTGGAGGTGTGCCTGTATGTATAAGTTACGTAAACCGGAGCTATTGGCTTGGTAGATCAGGAACAGAGGCTTTTCTCTCACAAGACAATGTATGTAGTACTTCTGTTCGGTCATTTCTTTAGTGAGAACCAGACATACACTCAATTATACTTGACTTTTCAGCAATTCCGGGGCCCATCGTACTGTATTGATATAAAGATCCCCCATTCATCTCTTGTGTAACTTGTGCTTTGTGTTTCCCCGAGATTTATACTACACATCCTTGTAGCTGTATTCGCAAATTCAATTGACTAAGTCCTTTATTATGGTGGGACGGCCGGAAGCTTTGGATAGTGTTTGATTGGCCCTACATAGGCAACACGTTGGAATACATGTGGTCCCTAACAGATGTTAGGGCCTAATATATACCGCTGCAATGACAGACAGACATTCTGTTTGTCTTTAAACGTCTGTTTGTCCTTCTGATCTTTTGGCCTGGCGCCCGGCTAAATCCACTTATGTAATCAACCGGAAATTGGGGCCTGATTTCTAAGATTGCATATGTGATTACATAACTAACTTACTACAATCAATGATATCTGCACGTGACGTCGTATACTTCAGGCCTGATACAACAGGCATTACAGCGCCAAACTTGACTAACTATCACTAACTCTGAGTGACGATTATTCTATCTTTGCATTGCGGGATAGATGAAATGCTATGTATATTTAAGGATGGGTATTGTCGGTGAATAGAATGCAGCATCATCTCGGCATGTAGTAAACTCCTTGTGGCTGTTATTGCGAGAGGCACCAGGAACAAGGCAATATATACTGCATTTTGAGAAACAGGGAAAGCGTCCCCGGAAAGTTAAGTTTTCAATGAGCATCGCAAAGCCTAGCCAACTTCTTTTCAGACCATTCCAGACCATTTACAAGTCTAGACTTGTCTTTTGTCTTAGAAACCCACAGTTTTACCCAAGTCTCACAATGCCGATCACATTATGGGGTCTTTGTTCTACGTAGTGTCTAACTTTATCTTCGACCGTTTTAAATTTTATCTTCGACCGTTTTAAAACAAGAAAAGACCAATCTTTGTTCAAATTTCCGACACGGTGAACCTGATACAAACTGCCATCGCCTGTCGCCGCATTTGAGCGATGGCAACATTTATCCCGAGGAATACCGAGTTTCCTCCACGATTCACTCTCCAAACACTAAGGTCTTGATTATTGCGCATCCGCGTCTTCTTGGTTGAGGCCTGGGCAGTGGCGCTTCAGTGGAAGGCTGCGGAAGAACAAAATCAAACGATCCACCAGGGGGAATCTAAGCCGCTGGAAGACGGTGGCGTGCTAAGAGATTTAGCCGATGGCTTGCATGTGAAGCAGGAGCCAAGCCTGAATTGCGGCTTTTTCCAAAAGAAAGCGCACACTTTTTGAAGAGAATTCAAGGCACATAATAGGAAACCATGGATTGTTTCTAGGGAAGAGCAGGGGTAAATGATGATTGGCTATAGTATGACCAATGCCCTGCCAAGACTATAAAATATACTATGATTGGCTAAGCTACTCAGGACTTTCAGCCAATCGTATTACATTTTCTCCTGGACCACTACGTCGGTGTCCACGGACACACACATTCTACAAAATTCTATCAACAATTGAGTTCGGAGACCTCTCCGGGAGTGATAGGATGCCCCCAGCAGAGAATTAGTGAAGCGTTGGAGGTCATAGCGGCACGTGTTCAACTACTACGCATCTCGACAATACATCTTGACAATGCAGCGGCCACAGTTCTAATCATCCCGGATCTGAGTTCCTGATAGTTCCGTTCCCTTTAGCCCCGGACTAAGACCATCTGACCCCTGTTGGTCCCACACTAGGGCATCCTTATGGAGTTGGACCCAGACAATACAATTTGCAACTTTCAGCGCCTCCCCTGCCTAAATCGTGGCTTTCCGATCACCCCGACCTTAGTCCGGGATATATCCAAGGATAACGGATGATCAGACCCACATATATACCTCCACCAATAAGGAATGTACCGAATAATCTAGAAATTTAGATTTATTGGTGGCTTGAATCTACAATATGGATCCAATCAGATTACACCTTCTACTGTTTGACCCATGGAATTTGATCCAACCCCATTCTACCTCCAATTGTATTGCTTACATTCAGCCATATATCCACCGATCCAAAGAGACTCATGTCAAACCCACAGTATTGGAGCCTCGACCTTTGTAGAATCATCCATGGTGTACGAGTCCTTTCAGGCAATTTGACGTATGTGCGCCCCCCAGTGGTTCGCTGGTATGGAACCAGGTACCCGGCTCTTTACGGTTCGATCCTTTGCTTTCAACTCACGAGGCAAGCGTGGCGGAAGAAGATTTTGTCGCTTTCAAAGGTATATATACCTGTCCTTGTCCCTCCTTTCTGTTTTCTTGCTTCAAACAACCACATTCCTTTTTGGTACCACCGTTCATTCATTCATTCATTCATTCACTACTGTCTTTGCAATCCAACCAACATATCACATTCGTTTATATCTTCACTGATATTCACCTTCTTTTGTGACTCAATCACTCAACACTACCATCAAGATGCAATTCACCAAGTCCCTCATGCTGCTGGCCGCTGCCCTTACTAGCAGCACCTTCGCCAGACAAACTACCCTCGAGCGCCGCCAGGCCATTGCTACTGGCACCTCCGGCGGTGACTGGACCTCTACTCCTTCCAGCGGCTCATACTCGACCGACGGCTTCGGCGCCTCCACCAGCTCATCAGGCTCAGGCGAAACATACGCCGGCAACGTGGGCAACCCCTACGGCAGCAACATCATCACCGTTGACGCCGCCTCCGCCAGCAACTACAAGTACGTTGCGCAATTCACTGGCCACAACACTGAGGACTGGACCGTCGCCATCTTCAACAAGTACGGCCCCGATGGCGGGATGACAGGATGGTTCGGCAACGCATGCAACACTTTCACTCTTGCCGCCGGCGAGACCAAGTACGTCGCCTTTGACGAGGATACCAATGGTGGCTTTGCTGCCGCCTCAGGCTCTACCATCCCCACCGATTCTATGGGTGGCTACGCCTCCACCTGGGGCGAGTTCGATTTCGGTTCCACCACCAACAGCGGCTGGTCTGGATTCGATGTCTCTGTCATCTCTGCTCAGAATGCTGGCATGTCCATCTCCGGTATGCAGATCTGCGATGCCCTTGGCTCTGTCTGCTCTTCTGTCACTAAGGATGCCGGCGTTGTCAATAACGCTTACACCTCCGCCGAGACTGCTGTCGGCGGTATTGGTGCCAACCTGGGCTCTGGTCCTGTTCGTCTGGCTGTTACCATTGATTACAGCGGATAAATTTGTTTTCTTTGAGATTTAATTTTATATGATTTTGAAGATAGACTCTTGGGTCATTCTGTTTCGGAGGATGATCTATACCCAGCTGGAATGGTTTCTGCTTCTATGTCAATATAGAGACTTATAGGCTGGTCCTTGTTTTTTGGTTATACAATATAACACATTCTTTCAATTACTTCTTTCGAATACTTCTTTCCATTGTAAAATTTTCCATCGAAATCTAGGCCTTGTCTTTACTCGTTTTACTGGGGAGTCAGATGTCCGCGTGGCGTTAACGTGGGTGACGTGAGCGATATACGCAATCGCTCACTACGGCCGCCACACGCATGAGCTCATCTTCAGGAACACACCCATATTTCAGAAATAAAGATAGAATTAAGAATAAAAATAAGGTTAAGCTCGTCCCATTCTGTCATAATAACGTTGGAGTATATCGACAAATTCATTACTAACTTCATATCCGCTGAATCCCAAACAAAATATCAATTCCAAAATCACTTCCGTGGACTAACAAGACCGTAAAACTCAAGCGGCTTGATACTGAATGCACCGTTCGACTCAAGCTTGTACTTGGGGTCTGCCAGCTCAAACGTGGTCTCCTTGAGAATGCTGGCAAGAGTAAAGAACGACCACCGCCAAGCCCAGAGCTTGCCAATGCACTCACGCTTGCCGTTACCGAAGCCCTTCTTCGCAGCAGCAGGGAGCTGATCCCACTTCTCGCCATAAACACGCTCGGGTTTGAAGGCCTCGGGGTCCTCGAAGACAGCAGGATCGCGGTTGACCTGACTCAAGACCGCGATCATGGGCTGGTTGTGAGCAATTTGGTACTCGCCACCACCAAGAAGGATAGGGCTCTTATCTTCGGAAGGAATGGGCTCGATGTTGAAGCCGGGCGCGGTAGCAGAAAGACGGATCGACTCGCGCAGGATGGCCTCGACATAATTGAGGCTCTGGAGGTGCTCCAGGTCGATATTGCCGTCGCCGACCACGCGGTCGATCTCCTCCTGCGCCTTGGCCATCTCGCTCGGGTTCTCCATCAGATAGTACAGGGCATAGGAGACGAGATTAGGTGCTGTGGCGGCACCGATGAAGATCGAGATGATCTCATCGATAACCTGCGACTCGGTGAGCTTCTCGCCGCTCTCCGGGTCGGCACCGTTCAGCATCGCATCTAGGATGTCCTTGCGGGCAGTCTCTGGCTGCTCTTTCCGGGTCTTGATTACCTGCGCAGCGAACCCGCGCATGGTCTTTGTGTCTTTTTCGAACTTGCGCTGGTACAGCCAGTTCAGTAGCTTAGGGCGGGTGGGTCGCTTCATCGCCTCCATGGTGGCGCCGTCCATGGCGTTGAGCATGGGTGGCTCGGCGCCTTCGAGCACGTGCACGCGCTGGTTGAAGAAACATTGCATGCAGGATGCAAGCAGGAGACGGTCCAGGTCTTTGGTGAGCAGAGTGCGTGTCTTGGTTCCTGCGCTCCACTTTTTGGTCAGGTCCGGAATGACCTCTGCCATGTCGCCAAAGAGGTTGTCGGTCGCAGATTGCGTAAGATGAGGCATCATGATTCGGTGTGCGATACCCCAGCTCTTCTCGTTGTCGTATGCTGTGAACAGACTGTCGTGCACGGCATATCGGATCTCGACTACTGGTCCTGTAACACACTTGCGGAATCGGGTCTGGTCGCAAATTTCTTCCAATAGAGCGACACTGCCGATGAAGACGATTTCATGGCCGAGAGCATTGATCTTGAAAATTGAGCCTAAAAAAATTAGTGAATACTCGTTGGGGCTGGGTGTTGCCCAGGTCCGTGGACGGGTTGCTGGCATACCAAATTGCTTGGCCAACTTGTTGAGCGAGTTCCACGTCTCACTAGGGTTTACGTCGAAGACATTACCCAAGAGGGGAATTCCGGGTGGTCCTGGGATTTTGGTAGGCATTGTCGCTAGGGAAAAAAAAGGTCGGGGGGATATCACTAGTATACAAAAACAAGTATCGAAAGTCAGAGAAGAGCTTCAAGCTCCCAGCGGGTGGGGGGGAAGTCTTATAGCATCAGCTCTCGATTTTAGTCTGCATGAAAGCCTGCATGGTTTCCCGATCTGCAGATCAAGGTGAGCTGAGCTATTGGCGCAAGAGGGATCTCTCGGCCTAAGTCTCCATCGTTCACCAGAAGTTTGGAGGCGAGCTGAAGGATCGGCGCGATCGCGATGTAATAGTGCAGATTAGTGCCGCCGATCGCACCTGGATAGGCAATCCGTCAGGCTATCTGGGAGCACATCTGCAGCGATCTGGAGCCACTTGAGTAACTAAAGCGCGCTACGGGCTGTAGTGCAACCAGTGAGCTCAATAGGGTTCAGCACAATTGTCAGCCGAAATCTGCAGATTTTTCCTTGAAACTGGATTGGTCTCCATCTTGACCGCTTCTATGTAGCAATTCTCCTAATGAAGATGTAGTTGATTGTAGGGATAAGCGTCACACAGATGTTCATAACTCAGGTCAATTTGTAGACAGTGACATCATGCCTCTTCCCCAGAGATTATGTGCGGTATCACATTCTGCAAGGATCAAGGCTCATGCCGTAGCATCCATCCACTTGCTGGATCCTTCGCTAAACTCCTCTTAGCTTCTCAAGGTCAACATATTAGAATGAGGATGTTGTACAAAATTGTAAAATTCAGTGAAGCTCCTAGACAGCTGGGCCTTCCCCAGGTCCTAGCGTTGATGCGAATCACGTGAACCATTGAAGTGATAAAACTACATGGATTCCCCCATAGGATTACTATTAACTGCTTGAACATGGGAGATGCTATTGTGTATGCGTCCCAGGTTCTCAATTGATAGTAACTGGATGTATGTATATCCAGGAAATAGTACAGTGTCAACACAAATAAATCTCTAACCTAGAACCCAAAGCTGTCCAGCAACGAATTGGCATCCGGCTCATGAAACATAGTAGGAGGTGGCTTCGGTTTCGGCTTCTGTTCTTCTTTCTTCGGTTTCTCCCCAGGTGTAATATCAGTGACGGCGGGTCCCTGCAAGATATCTGCTCGGTGCACCGGAATATCAGCAACTACGAGGCTGCTCCGGCGCCGAAGCAGTTTCCGGTAATCCACTCCGTTCTCGTCCATCTCCAGGGATGTATTAGGCTTCAATGCATCCTGGGTAGGCAGTCCACCCAGGAACTCCCAGTGGCGTACCAGATCGAGGGCGAGGAAATCGCAGCCCATACGGTCGTAGAGTCGGGCATTGCGAATAACGAATTCCCATTCTTCTCTAGGTCGCACTTTGGAGGCGCCCTTGAGGGTTTGGAGTGTCTTTGCGCGGAGTTGGTGGTATAATACTACCAAGGCAGGGTCGTTGGAGAGATATGACTTGGATTGAAGGGTTCCTCGCCCCGGGCTGCCCGGGGTGACTGGCGTCGCTGGTGATAGGAGGGTTTCGACCGGCGACTAGATCTGATTAGCTGGGCCTTGCTGGCCAAAGAAGAAAAGTACTCACAATCAGTGCCCGCACTGCCATATCCCGTCGTCCAAGCATCCAGAAAGCCCAAGAAGCCATCCAGCGGTTGCCCTCGGAAGCGGCCTCAGGCAATACTCTTTCTTCCAGAATCTCCCGAAGAACCGGTCCATTGTCCCCTTCTGAGGCTCGAGTGATTGCGATCGCGAGCTGGAGATCGCCCATCTGGTTTATGATCACGTTTGCAGCGTCACGCAGATGATCGGCGAGAAGGAAGAATGATGCAGCATATTCTGTTGAGTGTTAGCTGGCAGTGCTCATTCGTAGACAATATGAGTCTCAAATTACCAAATCGTCGCTTTCCAAGCAATGCATACGCATTCTTGAGCGCGGATGTCCTCCATCGCGGTTCCTTGAAGTCATTTGCTAACAAACGTTGGGTTGCTGCTTGTTCGCGGTTCCAGTGTGCAATACGCCAGAGACCCTGAAGAACATTCTTCTTTCCGAGAGCGAGGTAATACAATGTACAATCGATGGGGTTTTTCTCTTCCGTCTTGGTGTATTCACATCGGGCGATGATTTCGAGTTGTGCTTTCTAATCAATCGGTTAGTTTGTGGCCAAGTAAACGATATGACAGACACGCACCACAGCTACGGAATCCGAAAGCCACATGAAGATCCCGCTTTCACGAGCAGCCTTCCAAGTCAATTTTGCATTGAATTGCCGGGAGACAAGGTCTGTGAGGATATCTTGGCTGCTGCTATGGTAAGCCCAAACAATCTCTCGCCATGAGACAGTGTCTTTGTTGGCGACTCCTTGAGTCCGGCGCAGCATATGCTGTCGGAAGAATAAGAGATAGCGTGCTGCATTATCGTCCATTGAGCGCCGGTGCTTCTCAACCATAGCCACGCATTCAATGGTATCTGCCAAGCGGAACTGTTCATGGCTAGACAGTTGCGGCAAGGCGATCCGTGCTAAACTCTCATTGAGCGCGGCAGCGGCATTTTCATCTATGACAGATGAAAATTCCTCATCGGTGGAATCAACATAGGAAGAGCGCATTTCCTTGGAGAACCCTTTTTGGGAATCCTGACTTTTGTTAGTATCGGGAAGAGAAATTATACGATGTGTACTTACATCTTGTTCGTAAAGATATTCCACCGGCATCTCCAAGAAACCATCTAGTTCATCGCCCTCGGTGTAGAACTTCAGCTTTCGATGTAGGTTCAAGAGAATCGAATGTACCAATCTAGTCTTCCCAGCCAGGATACACTGTGCCAAGTACTGTGGATGGAATACAGGCAACGGGCCATTCAGCCGGCTGACAACGTCGAAGAGATCGACAGATGCCAGCCCTCGAGATGGCATCCGAAGCTCAGACACTAGGCGGTCTCCAACATCAATATCCTTGTCATAAACGAACAGTTGGTTGCCGGCTCCAATGACCAAATGGCCGTTATTCAGCCAGCAAGAGTCTCCTATAGGGTGCGGTGTGAGATCTCGAATCCAGATCTCCCGAACTTGTGTCCACGACGGTCGGGAATCTAGATA